GGTCGAGTTTGTTCCTCGCTCCTCGCCGAGAGGAACAGGAGGGTATCAAAAAGAAAGACCCTTCGAAATGAGATGGCAAAATCCACAAAATCCCGCGGAAGGGGTCGAGAGATGGCGACTCGACCGGATCGAAATGTCGGAGGTCCGCTCAGCTTAAGCTGTCCCGAGAACGGCTCGCGAGCCTGAGCGCGAGCGACAAAGAGGGAGGAGGAGGAGGAGGAGGAGGAGGAGGAGGAGGAGGTTGAGGAGGAGGGAGGAGGAGGTTGAGGAGGAGGGAGGAGGAGGAGGTTGAGGAGGAGGGAGGAGGAGGAGGGAGGAGGAGGAGGGAGGAGGAGGGAGTGGGGGGAAGGAGTCTCACGCACAAGAGACTCGGCGGCCGTCCGCAGTGGATTCCGCAGGCCGTTGAGGCAGCTTGCCGCGAGGAGAGGAGGCCGCCGACGCGCGGCCGGAGGCGGGCAGCAAGCGCGCCAATGCCCGACGACTCTTCCCCCCCGTCTCCCCCTGTCGCTCACCCTGCGAGCGAAGAGCGCACGAGGCACAAGTGTCCCGCGGGTCGCTCTTGCCATGGCGAAGCTCAGCCACAAGCGTACCGACCAGAGGTCTGAAAAAGATGGGGGCACGCCGATGGCGACGCTACAGTCGGGGCGTTGACCTAAGGAACCCTAAATAAGGAACGAGGCCCCTTCTTTCCATGAGTTAACCTTCGATTTCCGGTGGAAAACATAAGGAAAGCCTGGGGCAAGCTGTGAGACACTTCAGGAACGCGGAGCCCCTCCCCAACGAAAAGGGTTCTTTGCTCAGGGCCAAGACTGTACTCGACCCTTGCGCCCTTGTGCCTCTCGTGCCTCGCTTCGCGGGCAGGACCGTCGTCGCCCGAGCCGCCGGCATCCGGGGGGACCCGCGCTTCGGGATGGAGGGCGCCGCGCGGCGGGCACCGTGACGGCCAGGTCCCCGAGGGGCATGGACAGCGCGTGCCTGCGCGGCGGCGCCCCTGCTGCACTCCAGGAGGGAGGGGCCCCGGCAGCACGGCGCGGCGCAAGCGTGCAGGGCCCACGTCCTCCCTCACCGCACGCCGTGGGCACTGCGAACGCGTTGAGACTGGCTCGGGGTGGCCTCTCCTCGTCTCTCTCTCGCTCTCTCTCTCTCTCTCTCTCTCTCCTGTCCTTCATCCCTGCCGTCTGCTCTCCTCAGTGCTCCCTCCCAACTGCATTCCTCTGGCTCGAAGCCACACGGTGCCGATACCGCTGCTCCCCAGACCTCTCCAGGGCTGCGCTCGGACCAGAATTTCGCGGCGAAGCCGTGGCGACGAAGGCCGCCCAAGAGGCCCAAAGAGGGGAGAACTAGGGAATGGTAGCGGTATGTAGAAAAGAAGAAAGAAAAGAAAAAAACGCCATAAACATAAACTTTCGGCGTTCAGCACGCATTTCTTGGATCTGCGTGGGACCCCCTGCCGGCGCGCTTTCGGCGCCAGGGGCGGCGCCGGAGGCGCCGCGGGGGAGGCCCAGCGCGGATCCAAGAAATCCGCGCGGAGCGCCAAAAGTTTATCTCCATGGCATGTACTATTATTATTATGATGGTTCTCCTTAGCATTACTATTACTATCATTATCATTCGTACTCCTCTTCTTCTTCGACTTACCTCTCCCTGGCGACACCATCTCCTCTCATCACATATTCCCCCCCTCCGCGTGCCAGCCGTAGCCGGGCTTGGCCGGCTCGCCGTGCCCTGCCGAGCCCAGCGCCCCTTGCCTTGGTCGCCATCGGGATGCGGGGGCGCAGCGGCGGGATGCAGTGCCGATAGGTGTGTGATGCTCGCGTTCTACTGTCGGGGGCGCGCAAGCATGGATTAGCGATCCACGGATTTGGCGCGCGGTCGCCAAATCCATGGATCGGGGGAGGTGCCCTCCCCAAAGTGCGGCCGGTGCCGCCTCGCTCGGCGGCGGCAATCCGCGATTTCCCATGGAAACGGGACCCGTCGCTAATCCACCCCCTTGATCCATGTTTGCGATCGCCTCATATTGGCTTGTGGTGGTCGGCCTCCCTTTGCTATCAAGCGCCTCCCCCTTGTATCGCCCGTAGCCACTTTGGCTCAAGCCACGGGGGCTCAGGCGCAGGGCCTCTCACGCCGCCCCTCGTCCTCGCGCTGAAGGCGAAGCGCCGCCATGCTGCTGCGCTAGCCTGCCGCTTGAGCAGTACGCGTTCGTGCTGAAGGCGGGGTAGCCATGCTGGGTTTGGTAGAACTTCCTGCCTGAAGATGAAAGTCCAGATGCTGGTGCACTGGCGTCTCCTCTGCAAAGACTTCGGAAAGGTGATGGCTGGCCACTTGAACGGGCTAAACGGTGAGAGCAGCGGTATCAACATGGAGTTGGTAGTCCTCAACGGGCAGAGGACTGTGGTGGTTCCTTGGTTTCGACTGATGGCGTGGAGGGTTAGGCTCTGGGGCGCCCTTCCCCTTTGGGGTCGGGTTCGCTGGAGACTTTCCCTTGTCGCTGCTGGTCCTAGCCTCTGCGATGCGACGTGTCAAATCAAATCCCCCTTGTATCGCATGTTCTGCCTCCTCTCCGTCACTGTCGGCTTCCTCCTCCTCCTCCTCCTCCTCCTTCTCCATCTGCCCCTCTCATGCTCCTTCTCTCTCCCTCATCCCATCCCTCTTCCTCCAGGCGCTCGCCGAGCGCATCAAGGCGCGCGAGCAAGCGGGGAACACTTTCTGCTATGATGTTGTGTTGCTTCCGCTGCATTCTGCCTCGGGGCCCTCGGGGAGAAATCTCGGGCCCTCGGGGAGAAATCTCCTCCTCCTCCTCCTCCTCCTCCTCCTCCTCCTCCTCTACCTCCCCCTCCATCCCGCCCTCCATGAATTTCTGTGCTGCGCCCTCCGCCTCTTGCCCAGCCTCCCAAAGGAATCACAAAGACGACTCGCTGCTTGGCCCCCCACCGCCAGCCCAAACGAGAGAACCCACAAACGAAAAACGCGCCCAACAACGTACATGTACACGGCCCCCCAATCCGCGAGACAGACCGCGTGATGCGAACGTTCGTGCAATGCGTAATCTCGAAACCAACGTGGATTGAGGTACGTGTACGTCCTCCTTTCGCTCCTGGCCAACGGCGAGCACACATCGGGCGTAACTGGCTCAGCAGGAGCCGCAGCGTTCCACTGCAGATGGCCGCCTCCATCGGCCTGCTCCTCGGCCAGGCAAGTCACCTCCGTGCTAGCACAAGAAGACTTGGGCGGTAGTTTGGGCCATAGAATGCGCCGCCCATTGGTTCCGGCACAAGTTGCCGCACGTGCTGTCCACAGGTTGCGAAGTCCATAGGTTGCGGCGTCCATATTTGGCCCTACGGGCTGCCCACTCCGTGGGTTTCGCCGCAGTGTGGGGCGTCGTCGGCTGCCGAAGACGAAACAAAAAAACTTGCTGCTTGAGTTGCGGCATAGGCTGCGCCTTCGGCGAACGAGCACAGCATAGCCTGCTAGTGGTTGTGCCATAGGTTGCACACTCGGCTGTCGAACATAAACGGTTTACGAGTGGCTGGTCCGTAAGTTGAGCCCTTGGCTGTCAGGCATTAAGCACGACCTGGTCTTAGTTGCGCTGTACCATAAAACAAACCCTCGGCTGCCGTTACTAATGCGTCCTGCAATGGGTTGCGCAGGAGGTTGCGCGACAAGCTGCAAAAACAAAGCCAGAGAAGGAGGAGGTGGAGGAGGGGGAGGAGGAGGAGGAGGAGGAGGAGGAGGAGTTGGAGGAGGAGGAGGACCACTGTAAACCCAAGGATCATCAGCGATGTTGGGATACACCCTCCCTCCAAGCTCCCTCTTCGCAGGCCCCTACAACGGTTCATATCTATTGAAGGAACTGACCCGTTGGAAGACAACCGTTTGAAGACCCTGAAGCATGCCAAAACGTTTGTCTTGGGATTCCATCGCCACGACCTGACTGTTGCGTCTTGACAATCTGGATCGCCCCAGAACGCCATTCCTGGGATTGCAACACCACGAATCAACGTAACTGCTGCGCCCTCATAATCCTGAACCCATCCACAACACAATTTCTGGTACGCTGATCCTGGGAATCCGTGAAACCATTAGAACTGTTGAAAACGAGTGTGCGCGGCGCAAAGGCGAGAAACACATTCTGAAAAGAAGCCACACTCAATCCGTGAAGCTCTTGCATATGTTCAAAACGAATATGCGCGGTGCTAAGGCGAGAGCCACATTTTGAAAAGAAACCGCCCTAAATCCGTGAAGCGTTTGCACATGTTCAAAACGAATGCGCGCGGCGCTAAGGCGAGAAGCACGTGTTGAAAACCACTGGCCCTCAATCCGTGAAACTCTTGCAAATATTCAAAACGAATGTGCGCGGCGCTAAGGCGAGAGCCACATGTTGAAAAGCACCGGCCCTCAATCCGTGAAACTCTTGCAAATGTTCAAAAAGAATGTGCGTGGCGCTAAGACGAGAGCCACGTGTTGAAAACCACCGGCCCTCATTCCGTGAAACTCTGAAAATTTTTACGACGAGCCACATGTTGACAACCATCCGCCCCCCATGTATGAAGCAGTTGTCGATTTTTGAGCTTCGAGGTCATACGTGGTGAGGAAGTCTCGGGCGAAAGGCCTGGCCCGCCCCCAGAAAGACGGGCCTCGGGGTGCGACAGGGAGAAGTTGTTTCTAAGGAAAAAGAGGAGAGGAGGAGAAGGAGGAGGAGAAGGAGGAGAGGAGGAGAGGGAGGAGGAGGAGGAGGAGGAGGAGGAGGAGGAGGAGGAGGAGGAGGAGATGGAGGAGATGGAGGAGGAGGGGGAGGGGGTGGAGGAGGAGGAGGAGGGGGAGGAGGAGGAGGAGGAAAAGGAGGAGGAGGAAGACGACGACGACAAAACAGAACAAAAGGGTCTCCACATGTGCTCGTCCGAGGCGCAGTGGACCGCGAGGCGCACGCCGCGGGAGCGCGCGGCGAGCACGGACCGCCGCAGCGCCCGCTCCTGCTCCTCCGCGGCTCTCGTCTCGAAGGGGAGTGGTCTTAGGTCGGGCATGTCCCCCTACAGCGAGATGTTGGACGATATGTTTTATATAAAACCCCAAAATTTGGACAATATAGAGATATTCTTTAAACATAATCCCCAAACTATTTGTTTGACCATTTTGGGATTCCCTCCTGTAGAGGGACAGGCCCGACTTCAGAGTGGTCGCAAAACCGTCGAAACCCAAGAAACCCAGGGCACGCTGGAGACAAGCAGGGTGTTTTTTTTGGCATGGGTTTCCGCTGTGAAGGGGGGGGGGGGATGCATGGGCGACGAACAGAAGCTCGGCGGCGAGCGAGGGAGTCCCTCTCGGAGGGCGGGGGGGGCTTTTCAGAAACACTTGCGCCTTCTGACAAGTTATTCTGCGTCTTCGGGGAAGGCTTCGGAAACTTCTCAGAAGACCAGGGGGACTGCCGAGCCTTCTGAGAAGGCCCGCCCCTTCTCACTTCCCCTCCTCGCTCGCCGCCGAACGTGGGCGACGAAAAGAAACGAGTCTTACGCACGACGACATAGCGACCTTACGCCGCGGCTTGCGCGGGCCACCAGCAGGGCACGCCACATGGGAGACGAAAGCGCTTACGCACGCGCGACCTTACGCGGGCAGCTTACGCGCCAATGTCGGCGCAGACGAGCCTGTTTTTTCCGCGTCGCTCACGCGGGGGGGTGGGGATAGCATGCACCCTTCGTGCCCCTTCAGGGCCCCTGAGGGGCACAACAGGTGAACCTCCCTTCGCCCTCCCCATTCCTCGCAGCACCACTGCGCAACGCCCGGGGGGGCGGGGGGCGCCCAGAGGGGCAGCCTGGATATGGGTATCCCCTCCTCCTGCTCACAGTCTGCTTCCCCTCATGCGCTCGGGGTGCGCGCTCGGGAGGTTACGTTGGTGGCTTCCCCCCCTCGGGGATCTACTGACCTGGGTCCATGCAAACCCAGGTCCGTTGGGCTTCGCAGGATCCTGTAAGATCCTGCAGGATCCTGCGCGCTCTCCCGGATCAGTGCGCTCCTGGCCCGCGCAAAGTCCGGCGCTCTGGCTGGCACCCGCTCTGCACTGACCCCCGTCCTTTGGGCCCCGACCCCCCCCCCCCTCGCACCGGGCCTCCGGAGGCCCGAGGGGACATCCGGGGGCCTCTGGGGGTCGGGGCCAAGCGCGGAAGCAACAGATGCCACCTCCTGCCGCGAAGTCGCCGTCAAGGCACATCCGGAAGCATCCACCGCGTGCTGTTGGAGAGCGCCGCCCGTGGAGCTGCAGCTCCAAGCGCACAGTCGCGCTGCTGCTCATCTTCCCAGTCCTGGCTCCTCCCCCCAGCCACTCGCTCCATCGAACGCTCGCCATCGAATTGAGCACGCACTGACTGCCATGCCACCGCCGTCCACCACCACCACCGTCACCTCCTCCATCCCCCATCTTCCCTCCTCCTCCTGTCCCTCCCTCCTTCCCCCCCCTCCCTCCTCCCTCCCTCCTCCCCTGCCTCCTCACTCCTCGTCCCTCCTCTCACCCCATCACGATCAAGCCTGACCGAATCTGCCGAGAATCCTCCTCCCTACCTCCCGCTCCCACCAGCGCGAGAGCGCGCGCACGCGCGCGCGCGAGGAGAAGGGAGGAAGGCAAAGCAGGACGAGTGCGGCGGAGGGGCGATCAGATCTGTTGGATGTGCTCGCCAGTTCTTGCCTCCTTTGCCTCTGGAAGCCTCACGAAGCCACTGCACGAACGAGCGAACCACCTCTGCGGACAGTCACCCCGGCCGGGCTGAGAACAGCTGGGGGAGGCCATGGCCTTTTGGATGGCCTCTTGGAAGATGGCCTCTCCAGAAGCCCCTGGAGAACGCCAGGGTCCTCCTTGAGATGGGGGGAAGAGGACTCCTTGCACTCTTTGTGAAGGGGACCAAGGCCACACACATATATATATATATATATACACATACATATACAATTACATACATGCATACACACATACATATATATATATACACATATACATAGACAGACCCCGAGATCCCCCTATATTTTCAATGTATTAATGATGTGTGCCTTCCCCTCCACTTCCCACATCTTCGCCTTCCCTAATTACTTGTGCCTGTGTGCAATAGTTTCCCCTCCTGACTTTAGCTCTTCCTTCGATGCTTCCTTGGGCTCATCCAAGGGCTCACCAGATGTCCCAGCCAGGCCAACACATAAAACATGTGTGCGTTACTTACCCAAGACGGGCCTGAGCTTGATCGAACCGAGCCACATCGAGCCACATTGGATCTGACCCGAATCTCGGGCCCAGCCCACGCATCTAATCGCACCGGATCGGATCCTAGGCGGTCCTGCTGCAAGGCCTGTGATAGCAAGGCGTTGTTCGCAGACGACGACGACGACGCCGACGACGACGCCGACGACGACGACCGAGGCAGGCCGTCCTGCAAGTGCGCCAGGTCGTCCCCCGGCGGCCGCAGCGTGGCCTGCCCGCGGGCGGGAGGCAGGAGGCAGGAGGAGGAGGAGGAGGAATAGGAGGAGGAGGAGGAGGAGGAGGAGGAAGAGGAGGAGGAGGAGGAATAGGAGGAGGGGGAGGGGGAGGAGGAGGGAGGGACTTTCTAGACTTCTGGGCATGGGGTCCTTGCCGTCGCTCGGACGGTATTGTCTCGTGCATGTTTCGGTTCCGCGCGCTTTTCTTAGTCGATGATCCAGGATGTTCCTGGATGGTCCTCGCCGAAAAAAACACACACGTCCGAGCGATGCCACGGGTCTGGGCACAACTACTGAGATCCCGATGTGAATGAACAAGGGGCAGGCGGGGTGCGGCGGCTGCACGGCACGAGATCCAACGACCGCCCAGCGCTCCGAGACATGGTGGTGGAAAGCTGCACAATATGACAGCAAGCTGCAACCCGACTCCACTCGATAAGGTAACAACAGGGGTGGACATGGGAACGTGGACCCACCAGAGCATCCTAGTGAACATCTCCGAGCGTGAAGTGCCCCACCACACTCGAGAAGACACCGAGGGGGTCACGGGCAACCGCATCGAACGAGCAACATCCAGCCCTTCAGACGAGGCCACGCTGCCATAGGCCACTGTCAACCGAATAGAGCACTCACATCCCTGCTGTATGTGCCCCTGTACCAACAAGCTGATTTAGAGGAGCCATTCGGTTACACCCTGTAGAAAGACTCGCAACCCAATCGTGCATTCATGCTCAGATCCTCTGAGACATGACTGCTTCCCGAGAAGACAGACAAACAGGTACCAAAACCAATGGGCCCTCAGCCATGTCTGAAACAAATACCGCCAACCATAATTGGGCACAGCTGCCGGGCGATCAGGCTCTGGCGGCGGGTCAACGCCGAAGCAAGAAAACCAGATGCGCAGAAAAAAAGAGCAAGAGGCAAGAGGCAGACCGGGAGCAGGAGCGGGAAGGCAATGACTCATTTGCTGGGGCACCCTCCTTCTTCTCCTCCTCCTCCTCCACCACCTCCTCCTCCTCCTCCTCCTCCTCCTCCTCCTCCTCCTCCTCTCCCCTCCTCCTCTCCTCTCCTCCTCCTCCTCCTCCTCATCCTGCTCATCCACCACCTCCTCTCCTCTCCTCCTCTTCCCCCGCTCTTCCTCCTCCTCTCCTCCTCCTCCTCCGCCTCCTCCTCCTCCGCCTCCTCCTCCTCTCCTCCTCCTATCCTCCTCCTCCTCTCCTCATCATCATCATCATCATCATCATCAGCACCAGCACCTAGCACCAGACCAGCACCAGCACAGCACCAGCACCAGACCATCTCCTATTCGCGCATCATCATCATCATCATCATCATCATCATCATCATCATCATCATCATCATCAGCATTCAGCATCAGCATCAGCCATCATCATCTTCATAATCATCATCATCACCATCATCATCATCATCATCATCATCATCATCATCACCATCATCACCATCACCATCACCATCACCATCACCATCACCATCACCATCACCATCATCATCATCATCATACATCATCATCAATCATTCATCATCATCATCATCATATCATCATCATCATCATCATCATCATCATCATCATCATCATCATCATCATCATCATCATCATCATCATCATCATCATCATCATCATCATCATCATCATCATCATCATCATCATCATCATCATCATCATCATCATCATCCCCCCTCCTCCTGCACCGCTGCTCCTGTTGCTGCTCCTGGGGGAGGCCCCTTGGGCCTCGTGCAGCACCGCCTGCGGCCCGAATGCTGCCACCGCGCCCGCCAGCAGGCCGCCGTGGAGCAGAGCGCCAAAGCCGCCCATGGATGCGCCCACGAACAGGACCCGGTCGTAGCGGGCGACCACCTGCCGCAGGGCCTCCTGGAGGCCGCCGAAGTCCTCCAGGTACCACCGCATGCGGTGGTCGACCACGGACAGGACGTCGAAGTCGCCCAGGTCCACGCTGCCCCGCTCTGCGGCCGACGCGGGCGCTGGCCCGGCGCCCCTGCAGCAGTCCGACCACAGCCCGGCCAGGCGCCTCTCCTTGGCGTAGCCGCCGCCTCCTCCCGGCGGTTCCGGAGGGGCGCGGGCGGACAGCGGCCCGGCGGGGGGCGGCTGCGCCACCGCCCTGCCCTCGGCGCAGAGCCTGCCCAGCAGGCCGTGCCACTCGGGCTCGCCCTGCGAGGCGGCGAAGGCGACCACCAGCAGCCGAGCGGGCGCGGCCTCCGCGGCAGGGCCCCCTGGCCGGCGGGCTGCGGGCGCCACGCCCGCCCGCCGCAGCTGGGACGCGCGGGCGAGGCGCAGGAAGCCCGGGTGCCGCCAGAGAGGTGCCCCTGGCCCAAGATGCCCCGAGGTGCTGGCTTTAAGTCGGGACTGTCCCCATACAGGGGGATTTGGGATGAAACATGAAAAATAAACAAAAACATAAGTAAATTGCCAAAACAAAAAATCCAAAAATCGTCCCCAGACTATTGTTTGACTATTTCTGAATAGAGGGACGGGCCCGACTTAACGCTGGCTCCCTGTTGCGGCCCGGCGTGGGTGCGGAAAGCATGGGTGCGGTGCCCAACAGCACGTGCTGTCCAAAACCGGCAGCGGCCGCTGTTGGGCAGCTGGCCTGCTGTCCCGGAGGGGCAGCACCCGCGGGGGCACCGACAACGAGTCCTGTCGGTCTTCGTGCCCATTTCTTTCGTACCCGTTTCGACCGTCCCGACTCTGGGCCTCGTGAGGGGTGCTCTGGCGGCCGTGGGGGCCTCCATGGAAATCCTGGGGACCCCTTTGGCCAGGGGCACCTCTGGCAACGCCCGTGAAGTACTGGCCAACGCCTTCCACGGGCAATACGCTCCCCACCGACACGCAGGCGGGCGCCGCCTCGGCGCTCGCCGGCCCTGCTTTTCGCGCCCTGCCCATCTGCTCTTCGTCGAGGCCCACAGTGCGCGCGCATGTCCTCGAGGCCTCCTCCAGCAGCGCCCTCACGGCACTGGCCGACAAGGGGTTGGCCTCGAAGAGGGCCCGCTCCAGAGATGGGCCACCGAGGACGCCGGCAGGGAGCTCTGCAAGGTGGTTGCTGTAAGCAAACAGCCACTCCAACCTCCGCAGCTGCCCCAAGCCTGCGGGGAGCTGCTTCAGGCGATTCTCCGCCACATTGAAGGCGCGCAGGCTGTGCAGCCCCTTCACCGCCGCGGGCAGCTCCACGAGCTGGTTGCCCATCGCCTTGAAGGTCAGCAGGCGGTCCCAGCGCACCGAGCCCACGCCGAGCGCGAGGCGCGCAAGCCTGTTCCCGTGGACCTCCAGCCGGGCTGGACTGCCCGACACCTGGGGGAGCTCGACCAGCCTGTCAAGAGAGCCCAGAATCGAATCGATGAGTCGGATCGGCGATCGAAACGAAACGGACCGCCAGAGATCGGCGGTCGAGTCGGGAGAAGTCGAGTCGGCGGACATCGGCAAGCTGGCAAGCCTCCATTGAGGAACCGGAGCCCAGACCGGTATCCGAAGTCGAATCGAATCGGAATCGAGTCGAAATCGAGTCGAAGCCATCGATGAGTATCGTTTCACCGATCCCCATCCCCAGCGGCGTGGCCTGGGCCCCACTGGCCGATTTACCCCCCCAGGTGGGGGTACAGGTCTGTCCCTTCGGCCCTTGAGAGGTGCATCCCCAGCTGGGGTGGTACTCTGGGGGTCTCGAAGGGGATGGGGATGGGGATGGGGATTGGTGAATGAAGGGGCCCAAGGACACACACACACACACATATATATATATATATAAATACACACAAATAACAGGATTCCCAATAATTTCCCATCTTTTCAAAGTTTTTGTCTTCCCCACCATTTCCCATATGTTCCAATATTTTCTCGGGAATCGACGATGAATTCCCCATATCCTAAGATGGGGTTCTTGTTATTACTTGGACGCCTCCTACTCCTCCTCCTTCCTCCTCCTCTTTTCTCCTCCCCTCCTGTCGGACATACTCAGACTTGCTCATACACAGACTTACTCATACTCAGACTTACTCATACTCAGACCTACTCATACTCAGACTTACTCACACTCAGACATACTCATATACATACTTACTCATACACAGACTTACTCATACACAGTATTAGTCATACCCAGACGTACACATACACAGACTTACTCATACACAGACTTACTCATACTCAGCACCCCTAAGGGGAGCCGCCAGGGGTGGTTGCACGGGCTCGTTCGCGGCCATTTTGTGGGGATGTCTCAGGCGGTTTGCCTGTTTCTGTGCCCAACATCCTTCGCTTTCGGAGCAGATTTGGAGGATGTCTCGAGCGAGGCGCTCATTTCAGCACCCCTAAGGGGAGCCGCCAGGGGTGGTTGCACGGGCTCGTTCGCGGCCATTTTGTGGGGATGTCTCAGGCGGTTTGCTTGTTTCTGGGCCCAACATCCTTCGCTTTCGGAGCAGATTTGGAGGATGTCTCGAGCGAGGCGCTCATTTTCACCCCTCAGGTGGGCCAGATGTTGAGGATGTCTCGATCGGTTTGCTAGTTTTGGTGGCCAGGCTCGTGGGCGCAGATTCTTCTCAGGATGCCACAGGAGGCTCCAACAGGCTCCAGGAGGCTCCAGGAGACCACATGAGGTCACAGGAGGCATCAGGAGGCCACAGAAAGACTCAAGAGGCCACAGGATGTCCCAAGAGGCTCCAGGAGGCCCCAGGAAGATCCAGAAGGCCTCAGGAAACCACAGGAGGCCCCAGGAGGCAACAGGAAGCGCCAGGAGGCCTCGGAAGGCAACAGGAGGCCCCGAGAGGCCCCAGGAGCAGGAGGCCTCAGAAGGCAACAGGAGTGGCTCCAATCCCATGTGTTTTACGTATGCTCCTATCGATTGGGCCTCACCTGGAGCACGATTCTTTGATGTTCTACGTCTGTTTATATAGATGGTCCTTCTCCTGTGTACACAATCCTAAATGTTTTACTCATGTTCCTATGTATTGGGCCTCTCCTGGGGCACGAGTCCTTGGTGTTTTACGCGTGTTCCTATAGATTGCCCTTCTCCTGTGGCTCCAATCCCTCCGTAGCCATTTTGGCTCAAGGCCGTTCCCTGTCTGCTGCACTCGTTTTGGGCCCCGCGGGAGGCCGCAGTGATCGGACGCTTGGGGAGATGGCTGCGGGCGGCGGCCAAGCAGCCCGCGAGGCTGCTGAGCCGCCATGCGCTGGGGGTTCCCTCTGGCCCGCGAGGCGCTCCAGGCAGGCGGCGGCTCGCGCTGCCTGCGCTGGGCGGCTGCAGGCGGCCCTGGCGCGGGTGACCGACCTCGAGGCGGAGTGCGCGCGGCTCCAGGCGGAGCTGGGCCACGCGCTGGACGCTAGCCAGGCGGTGGCCACGGCTGCGGCGTGCGCAGCCGCGCAGGAGGCCCGCGGCTCCGCGGCCCCTGCGGCGGACGCTGTCCATGACGGGGGTGGTCTTCCTGGTGCTGGCTCTGGCGGCGACGTCAACAGCTTGTGCGAGGACTCCGCGGACCTGGACGGCAAGAGGGACCCGCTGCTCCGCGCCGCGGTCCCCGAGGTCGTCGCAAGGCTGGCGCTGGTCGCGCCCGTCATGGCGGCGGACCTCCTCAACGAGCCTGCAGCCACCCTGGACGTCGGGCGTCGGAACGTGGTCAGCCACAACCCGACGATCTCGGCGGCGGAGGTGCGCAGGCTATCCCAGCGGGCGCTCAACCGCCTGCAACGCTCGGCTGCTCCGAGGGCACGGCGGGGTCGGCATGGAGGGCAGCCTCGTCACGGTCGCAGCGATGGTGTTCGCGGCCGTGGAGCTCTTCCTCCTCTTCGCCCTGCTGGTGCTGGGCCTCCGGAGCGGCTGCGGCCGCCTCGCGGGGCTTCCGGCGCCCTGCCCCACCGGCGCCAGCCCGCGGCTCGCTCGGCCGCCGAGGGCGTGTCTGCTTCCTGGGAGGTCGCCTGCCGCCGCGGGCGCAGCCTCCCAGCGGGCGCCCGCTTCGCTCTCGCTGGTCGAGCGCGTCTTTCGGCTGCCCCCGTGCCCGCCCCGCTCGCCTCCGGGCCCCGCTGGTGGAAAGGGGACCTCGAGCATGCGGAGCAGGGCTCGGCCAGGCAGCTTGCCTGCCGCGAGTTCGGAGGCGACCTGAAGGAGCTGGACGGTTTCAACCACTCCGCGGCGTGCGCGAGTGCGGCCTCGAGCGCGCCCCCTTCGGCTTGCGACGCGGACTTCGTGGTGGCGGAGGGCCCCGAGGCTCTCACCGTCGGCGCTGCGGCTGACGACGTCGACGACGGGCAGGGAGACGCCTCCGTGGTGTTCATCTCGGCCGACGGGCTCGAGGAAGGGCCCGAGGAGGACGTCGTGGAGGAGGTGCACGGTGACGTGCTGGAGCTGGTGGTGGGGGACGCCGCGGCCCTCGCGCCCGCTCCCCAGCTTGGTGCGGCGGCTCGTGCTCGCCTTCGCCTCGATCGACTCCGACTTCAGGTCGTCAAGGGTGCCGCGGTGCCCATCGACGACCGCGACCTCCGCAGACCTGGCTGGCAGGCCGCCGATGCCGCAGCTGGGGTGGAGGTGCCCCCGACGCCTGCCCAGCAGCGCGAGGGGCTCCGCTGGGTGAGACGGCTTCTCGCTGATCCTGGGGCCTGGCACGGAGGCGCGGTCTGGGAGCCTGAGTCCATCGAAGAGGCGGCCAGACGCATCGACGGCGAGGGCTCGCGCCGCGCCCGCCGTGCCGCTCGCTGACCCAGCGCGCCCGCTGCCGCGGCGACACTCCTGGAGCTGTTGCGGTAGCCTCTGGGCGCAATTCTGCTTCTCGCCGTTTGTGAGTAAGGTGGGGAGTGCCTTCGGTGGTCTGGGCCTTTTCAGGCTCGGCACGGGGTGGATGGTGGCTCGCGTGGCCGCCTCACCTGACGGCGCACACCCACGTGGCGTGGCGAGTGTGCTGCATGGAGGCCGCTGTTTGCGGAGCCTCCTGGCCGCATTTTGCGGCTCTCGCCTTCTGGCGGCAGGATCGGCTCGTGCTGCACGGGCTGCCTGGTGTGTACAAAAAAATGTGGCTCCAATCCGCAATGTTTTATGTACGTCTGTTGCTATAGATTGCGCCTCCCCTGGGGCACGAAACCTTCCTAGGAGGTCCCAGGAGGTCCCAAGAGGCTCCTGGAGACCCCAGGAAGCCCCAGTAGGTTTCAGGAGGCCCCAGGAGGCCCCAGGCTCAT